CGTCGGCTCCACCAAGCAACGCGTGCTCCAACCTCACCGCCATCCTCACCGAGGTCAAGCGCGAGATCTGCGTGCCGCTCTTCAACGGAAACGACACCGAGATCCAGAGCTGGCTCGTCGCCAACGACGAACACGTCAACATGACGGTCCAAGAGTACAAGACGTCCGTCGTCACTTCGGTCATCGACGTGGCACAGATGTCCGATGTCTTGGTGAAAGTCGCCGACGACGTGGCGATCCTCCTCCAGACCCTCAGGATCATCAAGACCATCTCGAAGGTCGGAGAGCCAACATGCATCGACATTCGCGACCTCTCTGGCCCGTTTGTCCTGCTGATGGCGGCGGCGGCAATCCTCATACTCGCCGGCTCGATCGCACGTGAGCTCTCACGCCCTCCCATCACGCCCTCCCGCCCCACCCTCCCGCGCCACCCTCCAATACACCAATACACCCCCCGCCCCCCGCCCTCCCTCGCACCGCAGGCACCGTGATGGTGCGGTATGACCGCTTCATCTCGTTTTGGACACGAAACACGACGGGCTGCGCTCCCTTCGACTCGCTGATCGGCCTCTCGATCCTCGTGGCAGGCAAGCACTCGGCGGCATACCTCCACACCTCTCCCCCTAGCCTCTGCATCTACAACCCCAACCCTATCCCTACCCTTGCCCTACCACAGGCAGCGTGCTCTGCATCTACGGCGTCACACAGGCGGACGAGAGGCAGGAAGAGAACAACCAGCGCTGGCTGGCCCGCTACCCGGAGGCCCGCGACCTCGCCTTCGACCTCGTGCCCGTCACCTTCGCCTTCTCCATCCTCGTCGGCGCCTGCGTGGCGGTGGCCGTCTGCATCACGCTGTACGGCGGAGGCACGCGCAAGCTGCTCAAGCAGGACCAGCCCTTCTGCCCGAGGTGCACCAAGCAGGGCGGCCGCTGCGGCCAGTGCTGCTCGCTGACGACGGCGTGCGCCCTCCACGTCTCCCTCATCCTCGGCGCCGCCTCCCCCTTCCGCCGCCGCCCCTCTCTCCCCGGCCCGCCGAGGCGCGAGGCGGTGGCCCGGTCGCTCCAAATAGGCCTCTGCCTCGCCATCATCGTCATGATCATATCGTCGCTCGCCCTCGCCCTCGCCTTCGGCGGCAGCCTCACCGGCGGCGCCGCGATGACGGGCAGCGACGTCTTTCTGAACGTACTCGTGCCACCGCCGCTCAAAGAGTTTTACAACAAGGCTGCGAACGGCACCCTGACCAGCGCCGAGGTTTGCAACGCGTACGACACCATCGTCGAGGGCGGGAGCGATGCGGACGGTATGAAGGGGTGCGCGACCACCACCTTCGTCATCTCGATGGTCCAGTACATGGCGGATCAGCCGCCGCTTGATACGGGGCTGGACACGCATAACTACACGCTCGACTGCAAGGTCGCAGACATCCCCCCCAGACACACGCCCTCGACTCCCCCCTACACGCCCTCGACTCCCCCCTACACGCCCTCGACTCCCCCACAACACACACACACACACACACACACACACACACACACACACACACACACACACACACACACACACACACACACACACACACACACACACACACACACACACACACACACACACACACACACACACACACACACACACACACACACACACACACACACACACACACACACACACACACACACACACACACACACACACACACACACACACACACACACACACACACACACACACACACACACACACACACACCATCACCACCACCACCACCACCACCACCACCACCACCACCACCACCACCACCACCACCACCACCACACCCTCGCGCCTTCGCCGCCACTGCCGCGGCAACGCCCTCCTCTCGCGACCCCCGCGCGACCCCCGACGCGTGCCACATGCCGCACAGGCCGTGAAGAAGATGCTCGACCAGGCCGACGTCGTGTGCACCAACCTGACGGCAGCCGCCGCCGGCCTCGCCTCGGACGCGGTCAAGACTGCCGGCTCGGACACCCTCCTCGAGACGTTCTTGGACGTGTACGTCCAAGCGGTCAAGGTGGCGCAGAAAATCAGGGACATCGGCGAGCGCGTCAAGTTGCTCAGCAACGACATCAAGACGCCGTTCTTGTACATGCTCGGCGGTGCCGTCGCGATGGTCGTCGGCATCGCGCTGGCGTACATGGCGTACTCGCGCTACCGGATGCTCGAGAAGGTGTACGAGACCAAGGCGAAGCGGCGCTCCTCGATGCGGGGATCCTCTGTCAAACCACGCCCATCGGACGGGTACGGCGGCGCCGGCGTCGCCTACTCTGGTTGCGACGGCATGTACAACCACCACGGACCCGCCCAGGTGATCTGACACCGGCGCGTGACATGCGTCCCAGGGGCGCGCCCGAATTGGGTCGGGTCGGCGTGGCCACATACGTGTATCGCAGTGTTGGAGTTCTTTTTTTTCGTGGTGTACCTGTGTTTTGTGCCAGTGCGCGCCAGTCCCGTGGCCCCGTGCGCACCCCTCGCGACGTAGATGTGGCAGAGCCCCAGCCCGGACGCTCGATTCTGACGCGAACTGCAAGAATCGCCGCCATCCCAGCTGCCGCAACCAGCAGGTGGGGAGGAGTTGGCGGCGAGGATGGCGGCGGCGAGGGACGGCGGCGGTGGGAGAGGGCGGCGCGGCGACGAGGGCGGCGGTGAGGTCGGCGGCGGAGAGGGCGGCGGCGGAGAGGGCGGCGGCGGAGAGGGCAGGGGGGAGGGCGGGGACGGAGTTGGCGGCGTCTTCTGCGGATGCGTGGCCACTGGCCGGTGGAATGCTGTCGCTCGTGCTGGCCTCCGTCCTGCTCGGTTGCTGCGTCGGCCGCTTCTGCTCGGGGCGTGGGCGGCGCCGACGCAGCCGCCACGCGCGCCTCGATCGAGGCTGCCAACTGTCGCGGCCTTGGCAGAGGCCAACGTGGCGGCAGAGGCCGCGGTGGCCGCGGTGGCGGAGGCGGAGGCGGCGCTGAAGGCGGCTGAGGCGGCCGCGGCGGAAGCACGCGCGGTGGCGAACAAGGCGATCTCCACCCGCTCAAGAATGTTCTCGACCGTGGCCACAGCGAAGAAGCAGTTGGGCACGTTTCAGACTCAAGTGCCCCTCCAGCCTACCTCGCCTCCGCCAACACCGACGCCTGCCCCGCAGCGTCGAAGCGTAACGCCTCGGCCGCCGCCGCCGCCTCCGCCGACGCCGGCGCCTGGCCAACAGCGTCGCAGCGCTCAGCCGACGCCGACGCCGACGCCTGGCTTGCCCCAGCGTCGAAGCGTAACGCCTCGGCCGCCGCCGCCGCCTCCGCCGACGCCGGCGCCTGGCCAACAGCGTCGCAGCGCTCAGCCGACGCCGACGCCGACGCCTGGCTTGCCCCAGCGTCGAAGCGTAACGCCCCAGTCCGCGTTGCCGCAGACGCCGGTGCCTGCCCCTCAGACTTCCCTTCAGAGTCGAAGCGCCCCGTTTCCGCCGCCTCCGACGCCTCCGACGCCGCTGCCCCACCCTTCGCCATGATATGCACAGTATGCCGAATCCTCTTGCAAGTGTTTCAATCGTGACGCTGTGTGTGTCGCGGAGTTGACCTCAGGCTCAGCCGGGGTGCCTCACAGGTGCTCCTTTGATCTTTCCTGTTCTCGACTGTCTCGTGTCTACGTGTGATCTGGGCCCGGGGTGGGTTTTTGACCCAGTGAATCATTGCCAGTGTTGCCTTCTGACTGTCGTCGCTCAGACGCTGTCTGAATGACTGTCTGTCCGTTGACCGTTCTACGTTATCGACTATCTATCTAATGGTATTGGTAAACTGGAAACTGCACGTTGGATTTTCATTTTGTCCTGCGCTGAAACGCTGATTCGTGGAGGACCAAATCACGGTCGCGGCCTTCCGAGATCCGACTCGCGCCTCCGCCTCAGCTCACTGCAGTACCAGTCTGCACACTGGCACGTGGCAGGCATGCGACCCCAGCCCCTGAGCCCCTGAGCCCTGTGCGCGATAGAGAAAAAGAGATACGTTAGAGTATACAATAATTCAAAACAACAGAGAGTGCCCTGTGCCCTCTGTGCTCTGAGGTCGTGATTTATCCATGCAAGGTAGCACACACGCGCCACAATCACGAGATCTGTCTGTGCGTGCTGCCTTTAAGAACACCTCTTCTCATTGCCCGTTGGCCCGCGCGCATCGCCTCCAGGCTCCTCTGCTCTTTCTCTGCTCTTTCTATGGGGATCTGACGGCGTATGACACCGATGAATGACTGCAAGGGTGTAGTCGTCTCCGACGTCATGTGGTCCGTCTCGCTCTCAGCTCCACACACCACAGTCCACACCCCGGTCCACCACTGTCCACAAGCGTCGCTACTTTTCAGACCGCCCGCCGCTCTCGCCGGGCAGCAAACATACCGCCTCGAGCACGGCGGGGATCGCAAAGTGGTAGGCGTCCGAGTCGGGCGCGACGTGCGCCGTCGCGTCGTAGTCCTCGACCCCCTTGACCGCCACGGGCTGCAGCCCGCAGCACGTCTTTGAAGTGAGGTGGTCGGAGCGGTAGAGGCTGCCGAGCGCGCTGTTGCCCGCCACGTACCTGCGGGCAAGGCGAGGGGACGCGCCATCAGAGACGAGTGCGGCGGCGGCCTGCTGGACGCACGCCGTCGCATCCCGCCTACCACCCTCCCCCGCTAGCTATATCACCCTCCCTACTGCACGCACGCGTTGACGAAGCGGCCGGCGACGGCGGCGCGCGCCCGCTCCCACCGCGCGGAGTTGGAGGTGACGGGCGCCGCGAGCAGCAGCGCGTCCTGCACAACGCCGTGCCCTTCGCCATCCTCGAGCGCGGCGAGCGCCTCGAGGGCGAAGAAGACCAGTTAGAAGTGATCTGTGACGAGGAAGTGACTGGCAAGCGGCTTGCCGCGCCTCGAGGGCGTGGAAGACGACGCGCGCGCCGAGCGAGACGCCCACGAGGCACACGGGCCGCTCGCCGCACCGGCGCGCGCGCAGAAACGCGGCGAGCATCGCGCCGGCGCTGCGAGCGGCGGCGGTGCTCGCCGTCCACGCCGGCCGCATCGCGATCGCGCCCGGCAGCGAGACCTTGCCGCCCGACGGGCGGAGCGCGGCGGCGAGGGCGGCGAGCTCTCCCCCACCCCACGAGAGCGACCACCAATCGACCTGGCGGGCGGAGGGGAGGCGGTTCGGGGTGAGGAGCAGCTCACCAACCACCGGGAGGGGGGGGGGGGAGGGCGGAGTCCCCTGTCCAAAGTAGGCGGCGGCAGCCTCCCAGCAGGTGCTCATCGCCGCGGCCCGCCCCGCCGGCTCGCGCAAGTCCGCCTCAAAGGCCGATGGGAGCCCGGACACACCGAGGAGCAGCGCAGTGCCTGCGGGAGGGGGAAGGGGGGGGGGGGGGCAGAGGAGGCTTAGCCGGCGCCTCCTCCCCGTTGCACCGCGGGGCAAGCCACGCACTGCGCCGGCCGCAAGCGTGTCGCAGCGAGACCTCGCTCCCGCCGCCGCCGCTGCCGCCGCCGCTGCCGCCGCCGCCGCCGCCGAGGGGAAGCTCGGGGACGGACGCGAGCTCGCCGAGCAGGCGAAACCGCACGATCCGCATGCCGCTGTCGGACCCGCCGCCGCGCGTCGGCGACTCTAGCGACGACTCGAGCAGCTCGTCGGCGGCGGCGAGCACGTCGCGCCAAGACACGTCGAGCTCGGCCGCCGCGTCGCGGATGAGAGAAGCGCCGTACGCGTCGAAGCCGCCGTGGAGCAGCAGCGAGCGCGCCGGCAGCCACGCCGCGGCCCACCGCTCCGTGGGAGAGCGGAGCTGCGACGCCCAGTGCGCCGGCTGCGAGGTGCGGCCGTCGGCGTGCGCGCCGTCTGCCGCGCCGATCGCGAGGCGGAGAAGCTCCGTCTGGGCGGGGCGCGGCAGCCGCAGCGCGCGGAAGATGTGCGTCAGCGTGGTCGCCTCCCAGTTGCCGTGCGTGCCCGGAACGCGCCTCCGGCTCGGGCGGCGCGGCCGGGAGAGGCGCAAGCCGAGCGCGTAGACGGTCGCCGCCGCGCGCGCGTCGCCCTCCGCGAGCCGGAAGCTATCGGGCAGGTGCGGGCCGACCGAGCTCTGGTGCGACGCCAAGTGGTCGACGCGCGAGCAGGAGCCGCTCGCAGAGCTCGCGTCGCCGCCCCCGATGCTCGCCCCGGGGGAGAGGAGTGCGGCGGGCGGCTCGTCGAGCGAGCATCGGCCTGTCGCCTCGATGTGTCGCCGCTGCACGCCCCGTACCTCGGCGAGCAACGCGTCGGGGTGGCCCGCCTCGAGCACCCTCGCGGCGGGGGCGGCGGGCTCGGCTGCGTCGTCCTGCGGGCTCCACGGCACCGAATCCTCGCTGCACGCGCCGCCACGGGAGCGCGCCGGCGAGGCTGGCTGCGCGGGCCGGGCTGGGACAGACCCGGCTGGCGCCGGCTCCGAGGAGACGGCCGAGGAGGCGTCGTTGCCGTTGCCGTCGGCCACCACGGCGCGGTGGTGCGGGCCGCGCCTCGCCCCTCCCGCAGAGCTGCCGCCCGCTGAGAAGAGGCGCTGCAGCTCTGCGGCGCGGTGCGGGCCGGCCGCGTGCGCGCCCACGCCGGTCCCCGGCGCGAGCGACTCCGCCGGGGCGGCGTCGGCGGCGGGCGGTGTCGGCGTCGGCCTGCGCCCCGGCTGGCTGCCGTTGAGCGCCCCCCTCGGCCGCGTCAGCGCACCCAGCCACCCGGCCAGCTCCGCCGCCTCGGCAGGCGGCGGCTCGCGTGCCGCCCGCCTCAGGGGCGGGGCCGATCCGGCGCGGCTCGACGGCGCTGACGACGGCGCCGACCCGCCTCTGTCCGCGCCGAGGGCCTCGACCGCCGGCTGTGGCGCAGGCTGCGGCGTCGGCTGGGGAAGCGGCTCGGCGGGCGGGGGCGCCTCGATGACTGCGGCGGTCGGCGGCCGGCGACGCGTCCCCGCCCTGACCGGCCTCGGTCGTATCACGAGCGGGAGCTCGCCCTGCGGCGGCGCCGCCGGCGACAGAAAAGGCGGCATGGCCGGTGTCGCCGAAGCGAGAGGCTCCGGCTGCTGCCGCTGCTCCGGGGGCGGCGTCGGCTGCTGCCCCGCCGCCGCCTCGGCCGCCTCGTCCGCCACCGTCGCGGCCGTCTTGAAGCTAGCCTCGCTCGTGGCCGCGTCGCTCTCGGGGGTGCCTGCGCGCCGCTCGAGGCGGCTCTCGTCGAAGGGCACGTACAGCGAGCCGTCCTGCTCGAGGCCCGCCGCCGCCTACACGCCCCGAGGAGCAGACCGGTGGAAGGCGCGCGGCGGGAGCCGAGCTTGGCGGCGGCGGCCAAGCGCTGCACCCTCGCGTCTGCGGCAGCGCGCGCGTCCGCCGCCGCCGCTCGCGCGCTCGCCACCGCCGCCGCGCCGTTGGCGACGGGCGGGAAGGGCGCGTGCGCGATGAATCCGAGCAGCGAGCCGAGCAGGTCGCCGCCCCCCTCCGGCTCCTGCCTGGCTGCAGAGCCGCCCTCCGGCCTGCCGCCCTCCGGCCTGCCGCCCTCCGGCCTGCCGCCCTCCGGCCTGCCGCCCTCCGGCCTGCCGCCTTGCTGCCCGCCCTTGGAGGCGGGTGGCGGAGGCGCCTGCGGGCCCGCCGCGCCGCCCGGCGAGGCGGCGGCGGCTGGCGGCGGCGGCTGCTCCGTCTCCGGCGCCTCTCCTCTCGCGGCTGCTGCCGAGTCGGGCAGCGAGAAAGCTACGTGCAGGAGCGGCTGCAGCAGCGCGACGAGCAGCTCGGCCTCCTCGGGCCTGGAGAGGAGGGCATCGCGCCCGAAGGCCTCGGGGCACACCTGCCGCGCAGAGAGGCGGCCGCTGCGCTGAGGGGGGTGGGCGTGTGCGCGCTGGGCCGGCGCGAGGGCCGCGCGCCACAGGAAGAAGCGGAAGCCAGAGGTGGGCGCTGCGCCGGTGAAGGGCGAGGCAGAGCCAGAGGCGGGCGACGTAGACTTCGGCGACGGCGGCGGACGTGCGGCGGCGCGAGCTCGAGATGTGCTTGTCGCAGAGAGTGCGCGCGAGCCGCACCGCCTCGGCAGCGCCGAAGAGCGCCTGCCGCTCGAGCGCCGCATCTCCGCCGCCGAGGCCTCGCTCGGCCACGAGCGGCGCGCGCTTCTGTAGCTGGAGGATGGTCGTGTACAGCAGGCACGGCCGGCGGAGCGAGACGAGAGGAGGGACCATGTTGTGCTGGGCGGCCGCCTCGAGCGTCAGCACGAGCTCACGCGCCGGAGAGACCTCGCACGCGAGAGGCGACGCCGCTCCAAAGCCGGAGGCCACCACTCCGTTGACGGCGGTCCGCACGTCCTCCAGCCGCGAGGCGCGCTCGTCGGAAGTGGCGCGCTCTTCGACGCGCATACACAAAACGTTGTTGAGGGCGACGAAAGCCTTTCGGCGCGGCGTGAGAGAAGAATTTTACCACCAAACTCCCTCGCACGACACTGGGCACAGGACTGGGCACGGGACTGGCTCGCACTGGCACTAACACAGGTACACCACGGGAGCCGCCTAAGCGACTCCTGCGAGGGTGGCGAGGCACTTAGCTCCGTGCACCCGCCCACCCCCGCACACGAACTTGCCCACTCGCAAAAGGAGGCGCCAGAAAAGGCCATAGTCGGGAGCAACCCTCGAGGTGGGTCGCTCATATACTCAACAAAAACCGGAGCTTGTTTTCTTTCTTTTTTCGTTCTGCGTTGTCTGTTTAGCGCCAAATAAATAAATAAAAACGGACACCTCTCTACTGTGAGATGGGTAAAAAGGAACAGGCCCCCGCCCTTGCGATCTTAGTGCAGGGTTCTTTGTGGGTGTGGTCGGCGACTAGCCGGGGTCGTCCTCCCGATGCGCGATGGGGGGCTAGCACTAGCCGTCTTCCACCTGGTCCCTCGAGGGTCCCTGCTGCTCCTAATCTCTTCGTACATCCTCCTGCTGATCTCCGCAAAGTCCTGCTCCCTCCCTCGTCTCGCCCTGCGCGTCTGCTCCGCCTCACCGTCTTCTGCCCTGCGTCGTCTGGCGAGACGGGTCCTCCATAGTCGGTCGAGGTCGCCGCCCTCCTCGTGCCTCTTCCCAACGTTCCCTCGGCGGCCGATGCCGTCTGCTCCGGCTCCCCAGTCCCCGGGTCTGCCCTGCTCTCGTCTGCGCTAGTTTCTGCTTCGTCATCACCGGCGTCTCTCCTCTTCCTTCTCCCCTTCTCTCTTCTTGTATGCTTTGCACATCGCGTCGATTCCTTTTCGCGTGAGCACCAACCTGAAGCCCGCCCAGCAGCTGAACCGCTCCCTAAAGTCGAAGGAGCATCATCAGTCTCACCCACTTCGCTCGCTGCCCACCGTCTCCGCTCCCTCCCGCTTGAGCCGCCGTCGCGGCCCTCGTTCGTCCCACTGGCTGTTGCCTGTTGGCCCGTCCCTGCGTTGCCTGCGTTATCCCTCCTCCTCCGCGACTCCCTCAAGGCCGGCCGAGCCTCTTTCCACCCAGTGAAGAGCTTCCTCAGCCACTCGATGTGTTCCTCTCTCTTTATTATGCACGCTGTAGCCTCATCATTGAGCCGGATCCACCTCTGCACCGCGCCCGTCGCCGCCTCGGCCACGATTTGCAAGCTGAGTGAGGGAGGGTGTAGAGGATGTAGAGTGTAGAGCGCTGTAGAGCTGTAGAGCTGGAGAGCGCTGTAGAGCTGTAGAGCTCTACATCCACCGCGTGACGAACTGCCTCCGTTGTAGAGCGATGTAGAGGCGCTCTACAACGTGAAATCTCTACAACAAACTCTACATCATAAGCGGCGAACGAGGCACGGTCGCTCTCCGACATGAGGCGCGTTGCACTTGCCGGTGCTGCCCTGGCCTTCTGTCTGCCCGCCCAATGGGTGGCAGGTGCCTCTGCTGCTGTGGCATGCCTCGCGGCTGCGACTGGCCGGCGCCTCGGCGCGTCAGCTCGGCTCGGCGTAGCGATCGTGGCCAGCGCAACTCGCTTGGACTCAACGCTCAGCCAGGAGCTCCCGCACGCGCTGGCGCGAGTCATGGCGCATGCAACGCGTCTAAATGCTCGCCTCGCCTCGCGCAAATGCGACCGTCCTCGCAGCCGACAGTCCACCGCCTGCTAAAGAAGCACAGCGACGAATGCGGCACCGGCGACGCATGGCAGGCTGGTCATGACGCAGTTATAGGGTGTTGTGTGCCGTCGGAGTGACTCTCTGTGTGTCAGGGATAGTCAGGGCCGTCCATCAGAGCTCCAGTAAGCTCGGAGACACCCCATTAGTGCGACTCGACCTCTTTGAGTCACTGCCTTCCCGGCGGTTTGGCTGTAGAGCCTCTACAACAAACTCTACAACAAAATCGCGCTCTACATCGCTCTACAACGGAGGCAGTTCGTCACGCAGCCGATGTAGAGCTCTACAGCTCTACAGCGCTCCAGAGCGCTCTACATCTCTACAGCTCTACAGCGCTCTACACTCTACATCCTCTACACCCTCCCTCAGTTTGCAAGTTCCTCGTGACCCCGGCGCCAAGGTCCCTCCGGCTCTTCTCCGAGAGATCATCTACCAGCGCCGGCAACACCCCCCCGACGGCTGGGGCTAGTGCATCGTACCCCCGTCCTCATCCAGCACCCTATGGCGTGAGCCCTTCCAGCGCAGCGACATGCGCTATCCTCAGCGTCTTCAGCGTATCCTTGGAGTCGGGTGCCGCCTGGCGGGCTACTTTGCTGATCGCCGTCCCCGTCTGCGCTCGCGCTACTCTGAGGAACCATCTGTGTTTAGCGCCAACAAGTTGGTGCTTTCTGACTTTGCTCCAGCTCCGCAGCTCCACGCACACACCTCTCTCAACGCATCTCAAGATATCTCGGGCTCGAGCGCCGCGAGGCACGCGGAGAGGCGCTCCACGAAGCGCAGCGCGGAGCCGAGGTCGCGGTTCGGCAGGGCGATGTTCTCGTTGCCCGCCTTGGCCGCAAAGCTGGCGGGCGACGCGCTACCCCAGAACCGGCCAACCATGAAGCGGCCATAGTCGATTGTCGCAAGCTGGTAGTGGCGCAGCGCGAGCGAGCGCGGGTACGGCGCCGCGTCGGCCGCGCCACCCCGCGCCGCGGCGAGCGCGTCGAGGTAAGAGTCGAGGAGCGCCTCCTCGCCGCCGCCGTCGAGGTCGGCGGGCGAGAGCGCGTGCACGAGGTGGAGCGCCACGTCCGCCACGCCAAAGCCGACCCCGGTCGAGGCAAAGTCGATCAGGACGGCCTCCCCTCCCTCGCCGGTGGGCAGAAAGACGTTCATCGCCTTGAGGTCCCCGTGCACCAGCGTCGCGTGCGCGTCGAGCGGGCTCGGAGAGAGGCGCGCAGCGACCCACACCGCCGCCGCGGCGAGCCGCCGCCCGAGCGAGGCGATCTGTGGCCTCGCGAAGAAGCCGGGTGGCGCCGCGGGCGTGAAGGCGGCCACGAAGCGCTCCCACGACGCGGGTAGGCCCTGCAGCTCCTTCGGGTTGCGTGCCGCCAGCGCAAACGAGCCGCCGTGCCGCTGCAGCCGCATAGCGCCGCGCTGCAGCACGGCCCTCGCCTCCCACGCCGCCGCGTGCAGCCTGGCGGCGGCGGCGAGGACGTGGCGCGCCTGCCGCGGCGAGAGCGGCGAGAGCTGCTCGAAGCGGCCGTCGGCGAGCGGCTCGATGAAGAGCATCGCGCCTGCGCCTTCGAGCCTCGCCGCCGGAGGCTCGTCCTCGAGCTCCTCGATGCCGTCCAGCCCCGCGGCCACGTGCAGCCTCGCGGCGGGGATGCCGACTCTGCGCGCGCGCAGCTCGTCCGCAAACTCCGCGTAGAAGCGCTGCTCGTTCCGGATGTAGAGAAGCACCCTCCGCCGGTCGTTCCACGGCTTGTGCGCGACAAAGCTCGCAGTAACCTTTTTGAGGAAGACGAGGGAGGAGGACGGCGCCGCAGCGTCGCCAGCGTCGCGCAGGAGCGCACTGTGCGAGCCAGCCTGCCTGAGCTCGGTGCCAGGCACGATCTCACAGGCCACGCCCTCGCCATCGCGGCCCAGCGCCCGGGCGCAGAGGCCGGGCGAGAGCGGAGCACCATTCAGGTCGGTGAGCAGGCAGGAGGAGCTCGCCTCGGCCATCTTCAAGTCGTACAGGTGGCCGTCCATGTTGGGCGAGGGCTGCTCAGCTGACAGCCCGCTTCCCGCGAAAAGGGACTTGCGAGGGCGGCGAGGTGGTTTTTCTTTTATTTATGAGTGGGAAATATCCACTTTCCGCACAAATGTGGCACCCCTGGCTCTCGATCCGTCCACCTTGCTCTGGACTATGCCGACCTCAAACCACCAGCGCGGCAAATAAATTGTCTCTCACAGGGTTCCGCGGCTCCTAGCCAGATAGGGGGTCTGTGCCCACGGTTAGACCCTATGCAATAGGTAGGTAGGTCCGATTTTGACCGCCCCAGAGGGCCCTACAACAGGTAGTACCCCCTATTTTCGTCTTTTTTCGCTTCGCTGCGCGGCCTGGGGATAGGACATAGGTAGGTAGGATAGGCGTTTTGGTGCGAGTCATGGGGAACAGACCCCCTATCTGGCTAGGAGCCGGAACCCAGCCGTCTCACTAAAAGAATTTAAACACAACAACTCTGCTGTGTGAGAGAGAGTGCGAACTTAAAGAATTTTCTTTATTTTTGCGCGCGGTGCGCCTGTGGTCTGTGAGAGGTTGAGGTGCGAGCCCTGGAGGCCCTGGGGATGGGGGGAGACTACCCGCGGGCCTAGAAGGCCCGCGCGCAGGGGGGGGTGGGACATTGAGACCGGTCATGAAGAGTAGTATCGTCCCCCCTCTCCATCGAGCATCGTCTCACTGGGAAACTAAAAAGCAAGTACCTTTTATCATTTACATTTACTGACTTTCTGTTCCCAGAAAGAAAGAAAGAAAGAAAACAGATCCAGCAGGTGTCTGAGTGCCAGCAGCAGCACTCTTTGGCAAGGCACAGTCCGGTCGCACTCGCGATGCAGCACCGTTCAGCACGACCTTGGCCGTCGCACTGCAGCGGCTACGGCTTTCGCGTCGGTGGCGTCCAGGGTGAGCACCGGCACGCTCTCCGGGCAGCCGCATTCGGCATGGCGCATGCACCTGGCGTACGTAGCTTTGTCTCATCAGAGCGCCCGACGAGAGCGTATGTATGCCAGATCGTCGCACGCAGCCGCGAAAGTCATCGGGCAGAGGGCCGAGGAAGGCACCCCTGTAGCCGGATAGAGCAGCTGTCACCAGCCGTCCGCAAAATCCGCTTGCCCCAAAGAGGAGCAGTTCAAATTCAGCCATGTCCCATGCATGACCCAATGAGCGGAGGTGCTAGAAAGGGGTGATGGTGTCGAATGCGGGTACACCGTTTCATAATGCTGTGTATCTTTACTGCCTGGCGGAGCACAGCGACTTGCGAGGGCTCGTCTTCGATGGGTTCCACGGGAATGCCAGCGCCCGTAGCACTCCCTCCCCCACTCGAGTACCGAACCCGAGCCAAAAGGCGGCAGCGGTGTCATGCGATGCCTTTCCCGCAGTCCTCCTGCCGCCGCACGCCAGCTGGTGGTCGGGCTGTCATCGTCTGTTGGCTGGGCCTCCGCAGCGGGCGCCAGGACGGCGAGCGGCAGCGTTCTCAGCCACATTGACGCGGCCGGAGCAGCTTCGATGGTCGACGTGTCGGGAAAGGCGACGACAAAGCGCGAGGCGGTGGCCGGCGCCACGGTGCAGCTTGGCCCGACCGCGTTCGAGGCGCTCTCTGACAATGCCAAAGGCGAGCTTGCACCGCTCTCTCTGCCCTGGCTGTTCGCCCTGCCGGCCCGTGAAGCTCAGCACCTCAGTGAGCTGCCGTGGACGGACACACCTCTCCTCGAACCAGGCGACGTGCTCGCCGTCGCTCGCGTGGCGGGCGTGCTCGCTGCCAAACGGACGGCCGACCTCATTCCGCTCTGCCACCCGCTGCTGATATCGCACGCGTCGGTGCCGCCCGCAGCCGGGGGCCTTGGCGCGAGGCCCTTCCGGTTGAGAGCTGAGCCCCTGAGCAGGTCGACTTTGAGCTCGACGCCGCCGCGCACTCGCTGCACATCACCGCGAGCGCCTCGTGCGCCGCGGGTGTGCGGCGCGGCGAGGCGGGCCGGTGCTGCCGGCGCGGGGCTTGCTGACGCGGCCGCGGCGCGCCCCGCAGGCACCGGCGTCGAGATGGAGGCGATGACGGCTGCGTCGGTCGCCGCGCTGACCGTGTACGACATGTGCAAGGCGGCGTCCAAGGGGATTGTCATCTCGGAGCTGCGCCTCCTGCGCAAGTCTGGCGGAAAGTCTGGCGAGTGGAGGGCCCGAGTTGAGGAGCGAGGGGCAGCCGCCACCGCCCCAGTATGAGCCGCGGCGCGGCAACTGCATACATGCACATTCCCGTACGTTGTGTGGCCGTGGGCACGTTCCAGCCAACATATCTCGCTTGTCAGCAGCGAGTGTCACTCCTTAGCGTGTGCGGCTCCCAACCCCGGCGCGCTTTGCACGCGTGGGGGTGCGGTTCGCGCAGCTCGCTTTAGCCTTTACACACAGCCCCTGTACGTTTACTCCTCCTCCCGTCACCCGCAAAAAGACTCGCGCGCCACCACATACACCCATACGCAGGGCGGCCCGGCGGCCGGCCGGCGCTGCGCGGCGCAGCCTCGCATGTGCATGTGCGATGCAGCGCCAGCGCGCGGGGCCGGGGGCCGTCGCGCTCGCCGTCCACCCACATCGCACATGCCGCGCGCGCACAACCCGCGCAGCCGCAAAGTGCTCTATGCCTCATGTGGCGCATCCCACCACCATGGCGCACTCACTTCCACAGATTGCTGTCGGGATTCATCAGCTCGCGGTAGCTCACCGTTCCGTCCTTCCGCACGTCGAAACGGCGCAGGAGTGTGACGAGGACCTGGTCGTTTAGCTCCATCCCTGCTCCCGCCAGCGCGGCTTGGAAGGGCTCGTAATTGACGTAGCCGCTCTCCGACGGGTCCGCCGCCGCAAAGTCGGCGAGCAGCGCTTCTCTCTTCTCCGCAAGCACCGGCGCCGCCTGCTCGCAGATGTAGGCGATGCTCGACATCGGGTGCTGCTCCGGGTGGGCCTCCATGTACGAGAGCGTGTACTCGTCCGCCTGGTAGATGACGAAGCGCCAGCCGTTGAGCTCGACCACAGCGCCCGTGTAGAAGTCGCCCTGGAGCCAGAACTCCCACGTGCCATCCTCCTTCTGCGTGCCCGCCTTCCGGAGGGTGGTCCGCTCGATGAACTTGCCGCCGACGAGGCCCGAATTCTTAAGGGGCGGCTCAAAGACGGCGATCGTGTCGTTGGCGCAATAGAACTTGATGACGAACTGTCGCCCGGTGTCCTCCTCGGTCTCGGTCTCGAAGCGGGCCAGGAAGCGGAGGATGACACCGTCCTTGTCCATCAGCTTCTTCATGTCCTTCTTGGGCGGCTTTGGGACGAGGTGTTGCATCGAGTTAAGCGAGTCCTCCTCGCTGCCGATGGCGGCCCAACCGGTATGCGGCGGGACGGGCATCTTGGGCCGCTCCCATTTCTCCTCGTACACGAAGGGCACGTCGACCAGCTCGACGCCGTGCACCTTCTGGTAGTAGTCGCGCGTGAACTCGTCGCACGCGTGGATGAAGAACTCGACTCCGAGCACCTTGATCGATTTTCCGATCCCAAAGTCGGCCTCTGTGAATGCCTCCATCGTGGCCGGGTCAACGCGGCCGCTCCGCCCGATGTTTTGCGTGGTGTGCGTAGTGGGCGAGTCGATGCTCGTGTACGAGTCGATGTTCTTGTAAACCTTGCCCTTCTTGACAAAGAGCGGGAATGGGTCGCGCCCGTTGTTCCTCGTCTTGACCTCGACCACCTCCATGTGGTCGTCGGCGAGGTAGTAGTGCAGGATGAAGGGGCGCAGCTCGCCATACAGCTTCTTACGGTCGTCCCATGCCATGTAGAAGCGGAGCACCTTGCGGTCGTTGTCCAGGAACTGGCCCAGCCGGTCGCCCTCGAGGAGGTGCGACGAGGCGCCGAGGCTCGCCTCCACCCCGCGGATGAGCGCGTCGTTCACGGGCCGCGGCCGGCCACCGACGTGAGCTTTGACCGCCGCGCGCGTCGAGGTGTACCCGTCGGTGGGCTCCTCGATCGCCTGCGGCACCTCGATCCCGAGCTTCTCGAGGAATGTTCGCGTGAAGCCATCGCAGTCGGTCAGCGTGAAGACGCGGCCGTAGATGTCGATGGTCAAGCCGATGTTGAGGTCGGTCGCACCAAAGAAATCGCCCTCGGGCTTGGGGACGCGGTGGCGCTTGAGGTAGACGGCCGACTTTGTGGGGTCGATGCCAAGCCCTGAGTTCTCCACTTTGGGCTCGCAGATGTGCATCGAGTCGTCCTCGAGGTAGTAGTAGAGGATGCACTTGCGCACGCGGCTCGCCTCGGCCTGCGACTCGTGCACCTCCTCGTCAAAGTGGCAGTTGAAGCGGAGCACCTTGCGGTCGAAGGCGATCCAAGCCGGGGTGGCTGCCTCCGAGCCCTGCGCCGGCTGCGTCTTGGTTGGCGAGAGCGCATTGGCGCCGGCGAAGGCAGTGGCCGGCTGCATCAGCACAGCGCCGCCCCGCCTCGGCGGCGGCGAGGGAGGCATGATGGACCCCGTCGACTTCATGGCAGGGATGCCATTCTGGACATCAAACACGTGCGTCTTTGCATAGTGCACTGCGGTCGGGTCCTTGAAGCCGTTCCCCGGCAGCTTGGGGAGGCCTGGCGGGATGACCGACTGCTGCGAGCCGACGGCTGGCATGACGGGAGCAAAGAGCCGGGTGACCGACTTCCTTCGGTCAGGCGCCGCTGCAGGCTGAGGCCAGGCACGGCAGGCAGGGTGCTGAGACTCGCTCTCGCTCACCTGTAACGTCCACACAGGGAAACGTCAGCGCTGAACATTTCAATTTTGAGCACAGCTTTCGGACACCTGTGTTTACTTTACGGCCCTTCCTTTCCCTGCGAACGCGCACCCCCCCAGGGCTAGGGCTCTCTAGCCCGTAACCCGATATCGATCATCCGGCCCGCTGGGTGCGCTTCTTAGCTCCCCGGCCCTGGATGTGAGGTTAATGACTGCACTCCAAGTGCTTGCTCCAAGTAAGTGCTTTCTTGAGCACTGGATAGGGTCGATTCCGCATGGTACGGGACCCCTCGATCGTCTCGCCCTCCCTCACACTGGTGTGTTCATTGGGGGGGGTCATAACAAACACGGTACAGGATCGAGGTGCACGCTGCAGAAGCAGTGTCGTCCCCCCTCTCTCTCCATCAATCATCTCACCAGGAGACTCGTCGGTGATTGCGGTGTGACCGATCGAGCTACAAGAGGAGCTTGTTCAGCAGGATCCGGGATAGTCTGACGCACTACCTCACTGGGCCTGAGATCATCGAGAACAGCTTTCTCCCGAGCTCTCCGAGAAAAAGACGACATGCCCCGCGAGGACTGCCACGAACTGGCAACAAGAAGAGAAGAGTCTCTCTCGACTGGCTGCGCTGGCTGGCTGCGCTGGCTGGCTGCGCTGGCTGGCTGCGCTGGCTGGCTGCGCTCTTTAGTCTGTCTGTGTGTTTCGGGGGGGGGGGTGGGGGGTGGGGGGTGAATGATGATACTTGATGTCCAGTCCCAGTCCGAGCCTGGCTGTTCTTCACCTTCCTTTCTGACCTAACCTAACTTGATATACGTGAAAGGTAAGCGAGGGACGCGAACAACGTCTTCGCTCCCATTGGCATTGCGCATGCACCTGGCGATGACTGCGATTAATAAAGCGATAAACAACCTCTCTGGACTCTGGGAACACACTCACAGGTAAGGTAGGTAAGGTAAGGTAGGTAAATCTCCACACGCAGAAAGTGGTGGGGCAAGGGCCGGCGACCCTCGCATCTCCACACCCGCACACGGGCAGGAGCCCCACGGCATTCAAAGTGCAAGCACTGGCCCAGTGCACGCGGGTGAGCAGCCTCCCTGCCCCTCCCCTGCTCCCCTCCCGACGAAACCAAACTCCCGCACACACACACAATCGCACGATCGCACCCGCTGGGGTACCCGAGGCGGAGAACCGCCCCAGCGACCTGGGCAGGGTGGTACTCACACTGTGACTCACTACTCACAGTAAATGCTGAATCTGAAACAGAAAATCTCGGGTAAGGGGTATGAAATGACCGATGTTGGTTGTTGCGATGACCGATGTTACGGCGAGGAGACCCCGCGCGTGTGCATGATTCGAGTTCAATCGATTGTGGCGTCGTGGCTCGTGCGCCCACGGAGTAGTCGTGGCGATGCTCACGCGGGGACCGGGGGTGGGACACCGCCGCATGGATTTTTCAGATCGACGTAGAGTCGCGGCGGCGACGGCCATGTGCACCCCACACAGCTCTTCGGCCTGCTGCAGTCGGAGCACCGTGTACCTCCGTACACATATACGCACAACCGGCGCTTCTGGTGCACACGCGCAACCGGCGCTTCTGGTGAACATCTGGGATGCCTCACTGGCCGCGAAAGAGGCGCAGCCACTCGGCGCGCCGCTCCTCGTGGTACTCGAGCACCTCGAGCCTGCCACCCACCGACACCCGCCCGGCGCCGGCCCAGCCTTCTGCGGGCACGAGGTGCATCCCGAAGTTACGCTGGCCGTGATCGCGCTCGCGGAAGGTGGAGAGGGTGGCGAGCGGCTCCGGCCCGTGCTTCAGCGTCTGCCGGTCGATGGTGGTCATCTTGCAGCGCCCGCAGCGCTGCCAGGCGTGGAACTCGACGCCGTCGATCGCGAGGCGCTTGATCGTGTCCTCCTCCCACGGCAGCAGCCCGCCGACCACGATGTTCGGCCGGAAGCGCTGCATGTCCACCGCAGCCTTGCCGCGCGCCTTGAGCCGCGCGTTCAGGTCGGCGAGCGACTCGACCGACGTCAGCAGGAAAGGCGCCTCGTCGGCGAGCGAGACGGGTGCGGCACCGGAGGTCGGGACCGCGTCGCCCTGGTCCTGGTTCACCACCACCACTCGGTCCGAATCGCGAGGCAAGCCAGTCAGCCGCACGCCCGGGATCTGCGTCGCAGCCTCGAGCCAGGCGGCCGCCTCGTCGCCCGCGTCGAGAAGGGTGAGCGGCTTGGGCGCGCACAACACCTCGCACTGCACCCGCGCGGCGATTGCGTCACGCGCGAGGCGCAGTTCGGGCATGTTTGCGGCTCTGAGGACGAGGCTCTCTCCCTCGTAGCGCGGCGATACTTTGAAGAGCCGGGCCTTGTCGTCGTCGCGCGGAGTGCAGTACTTGCCATGCTTGTCCGTGCACTGAAAGAGGCGGTCGCCCTCGAACCCGCGCGGCGTGGCCGTGGCGCTCTGCACAGCCACCTCGGCGCACGACTTGATCGGGTAGACAAAGAGGTTCACCGCTTGGGCGTGGTCGGGCCGGTTGGCGATGCGTCGGACGAAGCAGAGGGTGACGAGGAGAGGAGCGGCGACCAGCGCGAGGGCGAACCACTCCTGGGGCACGTCGAGGAGCATTACGGCCTTGGTGTGTTCGGTGAGGCGAGCTCTCCCCGGCCGCACGGCTGAGCCTTTCGCGCCAGGGAACCCAGGGCCAGCCTGAGGGGAAGAATTCGATGGCGGGCACAACGCCGCAGGGAGGATACGCCGCGAGGAGGACGGAGTTGCGCCGAAAGGCGAAAGAAGCCGCGAGAACAAGGGACCGGCAGGCGGCGGCGTCGCAGGACGAGGCAGAAGAGAACGACGCGACAGAGGAGGAAATGACAAGGGAGAGAACGACGAGAGTGGGACGACCGCGAGGTGGCATGAAGGTTGCAGCGAGAAGCGGCGAGAGACTGCGAAGAGAGATAGGAAGAGGCAGACTCCCTAGGGTGGGCGACGGCTAGCGCATCACACACCTCTCCTTAAAATCCCTGTGTGGTGGCGGCGTGCCGTCCTCCCATCCTTGGCCTAAGCACAATATTCTCGAATATCTCCGAGAATATAGATGGTCCCGCGCACTTTCGTATTCGAGAATATTCTCGAGAATATAGATGCCCCGGCGCGGCTTTTTCTCAAGAATCTATGAGTTTTCTTCAGCCCTTGACCTTGGTTGACCTCGAGTCTCAAGATATTCTTGAATATTCTCGCCGTTACATCGCGGCGTCTAGAACGGTCTTGACTAGAGCTTCTCGAAACAGCTCTTTTGCCCCCTCAAAAGTAGGTTTTGGGTCGATGCAGACGGAAATCTTTAAGTTTTGGACGTTCCTGAGCGGTTTGGGAGCACAAACCTCTACTTTAGAGCGATTTTTGGCGTCCGCTGACCTCTCGCGTGGTGAAAATATTCTCAATATTCGAGAATATTCTCGAGAATATAGATGGTCTGGCGAGAATATAAGCAAAAGAATATAGATAGTACTTGGCGAGAAAAACGTGCTTAGGCTAATCCCATCCCTCCCTTGGGTTGCGTGTTTTCTTTCTTTAGGGAGGATGTGGCCTTGAGTTATGTGTACGCCAACTCAGGGTGTGTGGCAGCCAGCTGGCTGTGTGTCTTGTGAGCTTGTTTGTGTCTGTGTGTCGCTCGTGTGCGTGTCGTCATCATCTGTCCGGCGTCCACCCATACTACCGCGTTGGTGTCCAGTCCGAGCCTGGCTGTTCTTCACCTTTCTACCTACCTACCTTCCCGTGTAATCCCTGTGTGGTAGCGGCGTGCCGTCCTCCCATCCCTCCTTTGGGTTTATCTTTGGAGCACTTGGAGCACTTGGAGTGCAGTCATTAGCCTCACATCCAGGGCCGGTGAGCTGAGAAGCGCATCCAGCGGGCCGGATGATCGGGATCGGGTTGCGGGCAAGAGAGCCCTAGCCCCGGGGGTGCGCGTTCGCAGGGCAAGGGCCTTAGGTTCCTTTCTTTCTTTCTGACGACTGGGCGTTGTCGACGCACTCGCACACGACAAGAAGGGGAGGATGAGAGTACATGCATGCAGTCAAGCGCGCGTGGCGTTCGGGGTTCGCGATTTCCAACAAATCTCAACGGCGGCTTGCGACGGCCTCCGCGGCGCCACCTCCACCCGCTAGCAGCACCCATTTCGCGAGAATGTCCCAGGGTAAGCCCATGTGCGCGCTGCCGCCTCGCAGCGCTGCCGCCACTGCAGCCGCTCCGGCTCGGACGCATTCAGGGCGCGCAGCAGCGAGCGCGAGGGGCCGCGGAGGTCATGGCTCATCCACTCGTTCCAGCGCGAGTTGCAGTTGACGCCGCCGTGGCTCTCGTTCCCGCGTGCGATCGAGTAGCCCCACTTGATCTCCTTGATGAGACCGCACGAGGCTGCGCCGTCACGGACGACGGGCGGCGCGTCCGCGTAGAATAGGTAGAAGTGCGTCGCGTGCAGCCGCGCCCGCCCCGACCTCATGCCCGGGGGCAGCGTGAACGGGCGGTCCGGCGGCCCGTCGCGCACCAGCGAGCCCAGCGTGAGCTCCGCGCCGTCCCTGTGGGCGTACAGCATGCACCGATCGTGCGGCGTGTTGGACTTGCAGGTGCCGACATTGATGATTCCAGCGTCCTCGCCGCTCGTCTCGGTGCTGCGGCAGTGCCTGCTCGTGCGGAGCTCGGATTGCATAAAGTAGGGTCGGCAGAGCGCCCTGGGGCAAAGAAATATGTGGTCATTCATGCACCGCCAGTCCGAGTCGATGGTCATGCCCGCCGCCGGGACGTAGACCGCACTCTTCGGAAGGTTGCGCAGCGAGGGCAGGTCACCGTAGTAGACGAGGTCGGTCCGCAGGCGGAGCAGCCAGCCGTACCTCTGGCGCCGTGTTGCCTCCGCCTCTTCAACCTGCGCGTAGCACGACGCCACTCCGAGCCACTGGAGCACCAGCCCCTGCAGGTGCGGCGGCGCGACCTTTCGGGGACGCGGGACACGACAGGACTTCGTGGAGCGCTCGTACGCCGGCCACCCCACATCCTGCAGCAGCCGCAGGCCCTGCGGCGCGTAGAGGCCCCAGATTTGCTGCTCCGTAGCGCTCGCCACGGCGGCTGATGCGGCCCAGTCGCCGACGACGGTCATGAAGAGCTGCGAGGCGAAGCCATCTCGGTGGATGGCCGAGAGGACGTGCTCACGAAGGGACTGGGAGACGGCGTGGGCGAAGAGCGTGCGGGTCATGCCGCTGACGCAGACGGCGACCGTGTCCTCTGAAGTTGGCAGGCCAGCGGTGCCGAAGACTGCGCTAAGGGCGACGTGCTCTGCGATGTCGGACATACACGGAGAGAGAGAAGAGAGAGAGATGAGAGAGAGCACACGGATGAGGGATGTGTGGGGACGGACGTCGTACGCGTTACGTCGTGGCGATGGATCCCGAAAAAACGACCCTGCCGCAAACCCATGCGGGAGAGGCGCAACTTCAAATTCTTCCCTGCTGAAGACGCGGCGATTCTTTTCCCCAAAACATACGGAGAGAGTTTTGGCGCCTGGGCGCTGAGGCGGGCCGCAAGTCACAAACCAGGTTCGTGCCTGGCTCCCAGCTCCTGCTCCGCCCGAAATGCCCCACGACGATGCGTCCCAATCGCGTCGCCTGCGGGCGGCACCGGGAAAGAAGCGAGGGGCGGACCTGCGGAGGGCGATGCGTCAGCCCGCCATCGCAGAGCAGCGTCGTCGACGGACGCCACACGAGATCCAGAAGCGGAACGTGGATCTGTGGCACGGAAAGGAGCCGTCCGGCTACTGTACCGCGGGGGATTCGTCGCTCATGATGCCGTGGGCGTCGGGCGAGGGCCTAGTCACCTCGCCGAAGCGCGCAGCCACCTTCACGCGCTCCAACTGGAGCAGCGGCGAGCGCGAGCGCTGCGCCATCATCGTCGACCGGCACGTGCACAAGAACGGCGGCTCGACGATGCGTGACATCTTCCTCGAGAACGAGCGACTCGGGTACGGGCTCTACCAGGGCTACACGCAGCTTCTCTGGAGACAAGACTTTGCCGTGCTGCAGCGGATTGCGGAGCGGGCCGTTGCTGAAAAGAGGTCGCCGAATCACTTCATCATGATGGAGGCGCCGCTCCTCCCGTCGCCGCAGCCCAGACGAGGCAAGACGGCGCCTCCGCACACCCGTGCCTCGCCACCTGCCACCGACGCCCCTCTGCAGGCACACTTTGGCTTTGAGGAGTTTGCCAACCGGCCGCTCTCCGACCTGGTGAGGCTCAAGCAGCTGTACCAGGCGGCGGGCGTGCGGTGTCCGATCGCGCTGATGACGCGCGTGCGGTGCGCCGCTCCTCGCCGCGCCCCGCGCCCCGCAGAGTCGGACACCGCCCACCTCTCCGCCTCCTCGCCGCCTCGCCCACCTCTCCGCCGCCTCGCCGCCTCGCAGCGAGCCGCTGGCGTACTACCTCTCCTTCTACAAGTGGGGCGTGGCCTTCCGCATACAGGAGGCGCTGACCAAGGGGGAAGTGCAGCCGCAGTGGGGTCGCAACTTCTCGGAGTGGGCGAGGCAGGTGCAGCAGCGCCCCACGCAGACGGGCGGACCACTCTGCCGCCCGCGCCACTGTCCCGTCCTCACCAGGTGCCCAACCTCCAGTCCTCCATCATGGTGCGCGGCATGACGGCGATGGGCGCAGAGTACTCTGGCCGCATCCACGCCAGCCGCAGGACCATCGGACCCGCGGGCGGGTGCGGCCGTTTGACGGGAGCGGCGGCGCGCGGCCGCCGGACGCGTCCACGTCACGCCCGCGGCGGCGGCCCGTAGGCGTGGCTGGGAGGAGCTCGACAACATGCTCTCCAAGTTCGACGTCGTCGGCGCGCCCGCCTCCCGCGTACCGCCGAGCGCACCTTCAACCGCCGGACCCCACCCGATCGCACCCCCCCCTCTCGCATCGGAGCCGTCTGACTGGCGCGGCAGGCACGACGCAGCGTTTCGACGAGACGCTCCTCCTCGCGGCGGACATGGTCGGGCTGCCGGTGCTCGCCTACAAGTACAACCGCCCGAAGGCCAAGGGCGGCTTCAGGGGCGGCAAGGCGGACATCTGCCCCGACATGGAGGTCTAACACCGCCTCTCTCTCTCTCTCTCTCTCTCTCTCTCTCTCTCTCTCTCTCTCGCTCTCTCTCTCGCTCCTCTCTCTCCGCCTCCCCTCTCCCGCCTCCCCTCTCCCGCCTCCCCTCTCACCGCCCACCGGCGAGCCCCTCGAGGCGTGCCGCGCGCTCGTCAAGGAAGTCGCCCCTCGCGACGTCGCGATGTGGGAAAAGTACGGCAAGGGGTTTGTGGCAAAGCTGCAGACCCTCGGACCTGCCTTCGAGCGGCGCGTCGCAGACTTCCAGGCCTCGCCCCGCCCCTTGCCCCCCCCCCCCCCCCCTCGAGCACCCTCCCCCTCCCTCCCTCCCGGAGTGGCGCGGAGGCGGAGGAGCGCACGCCTCCCCAGGATTGCCTCACCTCATCCCGTCGGCCCTCCCCTCAGGCCGAGGTTCGCCGCACGCAGCCCGCATGGAAGGCTGCGCCGCGCGCACAGACAATCTGCCGCTACCACCCGGAGACGGACCCGAGCCCGGCCCGCACGCCGGTGCTTGCGGGCAGCAACCTGCGCTGCCCAGTCGAGGAGGGCCTTGAGCTCTGCCAGCAGTACTACGCGCACCGCCTCTTCGAGTGCCCGTGGCAGTACGTGCCAAACTCCTCCCTCACCGACCCGCTCGGCTGCTGGCGCCCCTCATCAGGCTTCCTCTGAGCCCGCTTGCCACCTTTGCAATGCAACTTGCTCCGCGCGGCCCCTCCGGCGCGGCGAGAGGAGCCACAGGCCTGCGCTCGGTCACTCTCGAGCTTGGCGCTCGCAATGTCGCGCCGGTGTGGTCGATACATGGCAAAGCAATGTCGCGCCGGTGTGGTCGATACATGGCAAAAGCCCGCCGGCGCCGGTGCAGACTATTTCACGACGCGATCCTTTCCACAGCCGAAACTATCCATATCTGTGTATGCATTGCTGCATCACTTCTCTCGGGAGAGCGCCGATCTCAGAGAGATGCACGACGCGCGGCGCAGCCGGTGGCGCCCGCCGCAGCACCCGGATCACCGCCCAGCCCGACAGCGCATGCGCCGCAATCGCCAGCGCCGCGAAGAGCGACAGACACAGCACTGTCCTGCTCGTAAACGCGTCCCAACGCACCCAGTGTCGCACCGCACCCACATCTGCAGCGCCCGCGCTTGGCCGGCCGTGCGACGGCCTCGCTGTCTGCGAGGCCACGCTCGGCGGCCGCTTACCCGTTCGTCTGCCCGGGCCTCGGCAGTGCGTGCAGCCGCGGCACTTGCATAAGCGGCACAAGTCCGCCGACTGGTCTGTGGACCGATTGCTCCGCTGCGTGCAAAAGCCGGCACACGAGTCTCCAGAGAGTCCGGCGCGGCACGCGGCCGCCTGCGTTTCGCTCGCGGCAGCGTGCACGTGGAGTAGCAGGAGGGCGGTTGCTGGCCGCATGTATTTTCGGCGAAGCGCTCTCCCCCGGTGCCTCTACCAGAAGCCTCTCCCCCGAGGCAACCCGAGGCAAACCTCTCGTTGTGCGGTCCCGAATCCGCGCGGGCTGCAGAAGTCGACAGAAAAAATTAAGAATTTCTCCCGCGAGCTGACGCGCGGAAGATTCATCGGTCGTATCTAAATAAAAGAAAAACCGGCTCGCCGCGAATCGCCAGTCGCGTTGTCGTCGCTGCGGCCCTCCTACGTCGCCCCTCGCCGTTCGCATGGCGCCGGCTCCGCCGCCGTGCGAGGAGAAGATATGCGCGTCCAAGAATGACAAGATGCGTGCGATGTTTGCCGCCGTCGGGCAGCCAAAGCCTGCTCCCGCTGCGACCGCTGCGACCTCGGCCGAGTGCCCGCCGGACCGTGAGGAGCTCGGACGACACACGTGGACCCTGGTGCGCTGCGCCTCCAGACGGATCGCGACAAGCGCGCATCGCCGTGACGTGCGCGCCATCTCGTGCCCGCAGCTCCACACCACCGCCGCCTACTACCCGGAGACGGCCTCGCCGTCGCAGCAGACCCTGGCTGAGCAGTTCATTCGCTCGCTCGGCGAGCTCTACGCGTGCTCTCACTGCGCCGCGGACTTTCGGAGCGAGGTGGAGGCCTCGCCACCACGGCGTGCTTCCGCTCCGCCTACTGCGCCGCCCTCCCGCGCCGATGATTATTCCGCACCGCCGCTGGCAGGCTGGGCTCGCGCGAGGAATTTTGCCTGTGGATGTGCGAGCAGCACAACGCCGTCAATGCCAAACTGGGCAAGCCCGTCTTCCCGTGCACGCTTGCCAGGCTCGATGCGCGCTGGCGCGACGGAGGCGCGCGCTGCGACGAAGAAGGCGCAGAGAGCTCAGGCCCCGCGATAGACTAACAACTAAGAATATAAATTGTGTTGTCCCTGTGTGGCTTCGGGCGCTCGGCTGAGCACCGTCGTGCTCGGGGCCAGGTGTGTTAGCCCTGTCAAACTCCGGTCCTTGGTTATCTGATTTTTCGCTTTGCTTTCTCTTCTTTGTCGCATATTGGCACAACGGCCCACATGCCGCCGGCGCGGGGCCGGTCACCGCCGAGTTCGACTACAATCACATGCAATCACATGCAATCAACGCAATCCAGTGGGATTGCGGTCGCGCCCACTCTCGATTGCACCCACCCTTTTTTTTCCACCCGCCACGCGAAGAGAAGTCAGAAGAAATTCAGCCTGGATTTCTTCTTCTCCGCGGGCGAACAGAGAAACCCATACTGGTACTCCGGGGGTTTCTTTTTTCGTCCCCTACCTTCACACTGCTGTGAATACGTCCCGAACCCATACTGTGACCTGGTAGCATATGCTCGCGGCACGCGGGCGGCGGCCGCCGGCCTGAGCCCTGGCTGTCAGGCTGTCAGGTGCTGTCAGGTGATCTGTCGGGCTGTCGGGCAGCTGTCAGGCACTGTCAGGTGCCTCTGTCAGACCAGCTGTCGGGTGCTGTCAGTGCTGTCGGGTGCTGTCGGGTGCGTGTCTGACAGTCGAGGGGCTCTGTAGCTGTCGGGTGCTGTCAGAGCTGTCGGGTGTTGCTGTCAGACGCTGTCGGAGCTGTCAGAGCTGTCAGGCTGCTGCTGCTGTCAGACGTTGGGCTGTTGCTGTCAGGTGCTGTCAGGTGGTGCTGTCGGGGTGCTGTCAGGCTCTGACACACACCAGCCACACTTATGACACTATCAAGAGGAGACCAGCAGGACTCTACTGCACACATACTCTAGTCTCTACTCTGCCTCCGGTCCCACCATCTTCTTCATGGTGGACGTCACCATCTTCTTGTCTGCCGCACTGAGAGAATAGCAGAGAGGCAGACTGGAGTGCTTCTTCAGGTACACCTTGCTGATGATCTGGTAGTTGCTGGTCCAGCGGAAGGCCTCCCCATCGTTGTCGCTCGTCAGCTTGTAGTACTTGCACGCTCTGTTCTGGTAGCGCGGGCCGTCTGGGGGGGTCCCGTCACCCTTCACCTCACGGTACCACCGGAGGATAAAGAGGCCCTTGGGGTCGTTGATGAAGACCCCGTTGCTGCGCTGACTCATCGAGAGCTGGCGCAGGTACTCTGCGCTCGAGCTGCCAGTGGCGCGGCGCGCGTCTACCGTGCCGTCGGCGACGGCCACCTGCTCGATGTTGCCGATGGCAAAGACCTTGGAGCTATCCTCCATGGTGAAGAGCACCGCAACTGCGGAGAGAAAGAGAAGAGGGAGAGATGAGGATGCACGTCTTATGTGTGTGTGTGTGACAGGCGGCAAGGGCGTGGTCACCGTCATCATCATCCATGTAGAAGTCGAGCTCCTCAGCCGCGGGTCCGCAGAGGTGGGGCGGGAGGGTTGAGAGAGAGACCCTAGGAGAGACCCATGACCATCCCATCACTACATGTCTTTGCATGTAATAGTTTTGTTATACCCTCATGGGGCACAAGAAAGAGGCTGCACGGCCTGTGTATGGTCTGTGCTGCTGTCGGGCTGGTCGGGCTGTCGGGCTGTCAGCGCTGTTGTCAGGCCACTGTGTGCTGTCGGGCTGTCGGGCAGCTGTCAGGCTGTCACGTTAGGGCCTGACAGCGACAGAGCCCCTCGACTGTCAGACTCTGCTGTCAGGCTGTCAGATACGTGCTGTCAGGCTGTCAGAGAAGTGCTGTCAACGCTGTCAGGCTGTCGGGCACTGTCAGGCGCTGTCCGGGGTTTGCTGTCAGGCTGTCAGACCAGGGCTCAGCCGCCGGCCCGAGACCCGCGCGAGCGAGACTCTGCGCGCCAGTCCCGTGGCCAGTGTCGTGCGAGGGAGCTTTGTTGTAAACTTCTCTTCTTTCGCGGGGCGCGGCCGCTGTGTGCACTGCAGCACACTGCAGGGGCGCTCGCCGTGTCGGTATCCAGGGTCTGCTGCAGTGCTGCACTCTCTCCAGGGTCAGCTGTCTCTCGCGGGGGGTCGCCCCCCCCGGCACCCCATTATTACTCGCTGTGCAAAAAGGTGAACCCCCCGCGCGCAACCTTTATATTTTTTCTCCTCCCGGCGGCTGCACCTGTGGTGTGTTACGGCGGCTGCGCTGAGGTGTGTGTTCGCTCCGGCAGGGTGCGTTGAGCGTCCTGCACGGCCAGCACGGGGGCACGGGTGCAGCAACCATTCCACCAGCCGAACCCATCGGCACCCGCCGATGCTCTCTCTAATTCCCCTTATCACTCCGATTTGTCAAAGCGGTCATCGTTCTCCACGCTGAGCTCTCATGAGCTCTGTCAGCCCGTCCTCCAGGCCTGAGCCCGTCTTTGCCGAGCAGGCCTAGAGCAGCAAAAATGAAATGTGAACAACCCGTGGACGGACGAGTAAAGAAGGGTAGGTCGGTCAAGGGGGTGCGCCTCGCGCCTGCACGTGCACCCACCTGTCCTTCAGGCTGGTTAGCTCGAGCTCCTTCATGACCTCCGCCGCGCTCATAGCGCCCAACAGATCCTGCTTGTTGGCAAACACCAGCACAGCTACACTCTTGAGCTCTTCCTCCTCTAGCAGGGACATCTGCGCGAGGTCAGGGCACCACTCAATACGCTTGCGATGCGATGCGATGTAGTGGCGGCGATAGGAGCAAAGGCAGGGACGGGCTCGGCGAGGCTCACAAGCTCTTCCGCGGCCTCGTCAGTCCTCCGCTTATCAGCAGAGTCCACCATGTAGATGACACAGTCTGTGTTTTGGTAGTAATTCTTCCAGTAGGGGCGGATGTGCTTCTGGCCGCCGATGTCCCACACATTCAGCTTGAAGCCCGCCTGCTGCACCGACTTGATGTTGAAGCCCTGCGTCGGCGTGATCTGACTGACATCCTCCTACGATCCGCAGCCCCGATGCGGTGATTTGGCGGGCGACCGACCACGGAGACGGGAGGTGCACGAGTGTCGCTGGCACCCCCGCCAGCTGCTTGAGCGCTGTAGTCTTGCCCGAGTTGTCCAGGCCCAGCATCAGTATCCGCAGCTCCTTCTCGTCCTTCTTGAGGTTGCGCAGCAGCGTTAGGAGACCCCTGCGCAGGGTCAGGGCAGGTCGAAAATCTGTCAGAGCAGCACGCTCAGACTCGCCGCGCTGTGCGCGCGCGCGGCAGCACACATGGCAGAGTGGCGCGCTCTGCACAGAGCGGCCGTTGCAACCGATGTTCCGATCTTCCGATGTAACCGAAGCTTCAGCTGTGAACACAAATGACAGCAAGAAATGTGTAGGTCTGTGTGATCCAGGGCTCCCGCGGCAAGCCGAACCGCGGCATCTTCTTTTTGTCACGCGAACGCAACTCCGAAACGGCCTGGCAAGGGTCTGCGCCGAGTGCAGTCCATGAGCGCGAACAGCAGCTCAGGCGGCTCGCTGACCATGAGCAGCGCGGACAGCCCCCAGCCTGGCTCCGGTTCGCACATTCTGAACATCCGCAATGCGCGCATGCGCGCGGAGTCAGATGTGACTCTGCTGCGCAACAGACTTGAGAAACTCGGGCAAGAGGAGCGCAAGGCTCTGAAAAAGATTGAGGAAACGAGGAAGCGAGCGGAGCAGATCATACAGCTGCGAGCGCGCAACGAGCGAGCTCACCTGCGCAAGCAGCTCGAGGCGGAGCGCAGCGAGCGCCAGCGAGATCGCAGACGAGAAGCCCTGCAGGCGTCGAAGAATGAGATGTCTGGCAAGGTGCAGGCGAATTTGGACGCCCTGCAGGCGCAGAAGAAGCACGACGCGGCCGTCATGCGAGATCAGCGCGCGCTCATCAATGACTATCTCCGCGTCAAGCAGCAGCAGCAGCTTGAGCGCAACCGCCAAGTCACAGAGGTGCCGGCGCCGCGCCTCCCGCCCTCCCCCCCCACCTGTGAATGCCTCTCCACAATCCCTCCACAAAGATCTTGAGTGCCGCCGCCAGGTGATGCGAGAGCACGCTGCCGACGTGCAGCGGCGGCGGATGCAGGAACGGATGGAGTACGAAGAGAGCCTACAGCTCGAGAGCGAGGAGCGGCTGATGGTAGAGGAGCAGCGCCGCCGGCTCGCCGACAAGGCGGTGTCCTTGCACAGGGAGGAAGAGGAATCGGCGATTGAGCGGCTGCAACAGATCAAGCAGTATGAGCTGGAGGCGTGCAAGGATCTCGAGCGTGCGGTCGGCGGGGACGGGCGCGGAGGTGCCTCTTTGCTTGCTGAGTCGCCGCGGTATTTGCCAAGGGCGGTACCGCTGCAATCTCGCGCGGCGGCGGGAGATCGCCCAGCATGTTAATCGCACAAGACCGTCAGTCTTTGTTCGGCATTGGCGGTCCGTCCCCTTCCAATCCGTGCGGTGACCGGTCCGGTGCCGCGGTGCTGGTGCTTTCGAACGAAGACCGAGCTTCTTTGTCTTTTGAGAGTTTGGGGGGGGCAGAGATGGTGTGTAGCGCTGGGTAGGTTAGCTAGGTAGATGCGGGAGCGAATGGCCGCCAGACACAAAGTACGGACCCACTGTCTGCGTGTTCTCTCCTGCACCACGTGTGGGAAAATGTGAGACGCGCGCGCCGAGAGTGGCACAGTTGCGCGTCTGCCTGCTGCGTCTGAAAAAACTGAAACGTGTGAGAAAGAGCTGTGAAAGTAAAAAAAGCGTGGCCGCGCGAGCCGGGAGCGAGGGGTCCTTCGGCCCGCACGGAACGCCCGGAACCGGCGCGGCTGAGTAAATAGGCCCGCCGACCGCCCACCGCGCACCGGCGGTATACACATCCTGAGTCGGGAAATAAATAAATAAAAACGGTCAAACTCTGAGACGAGATGGGATTTAGGGACATGTGTCCCCGCCCTGCACGATCTTGGTGTGAGGGATCTTCAATCCGTCCCCTCACCCCCTGGTCACTACCCGACACTAGAAGAGAGCAGCAAGAGTTGGGGCTGCGGCTACGGCTGCGGCTGCGGGAGGGGCTATGGTCGCGGGAGAGCCGCTGCGCCGCGTGGGCGCGCCTACACCGCGCTTGCTCCGCTCGCCACCTCTCGCAAAGGTCCAAAGTCATAGCCATCACCTCCTCCGGCAAGTCCTTTTCGCCTATCTCGCCGTCCCTCCATGCCTGAGTCGGGGCCTCAGTATACGGCTTCGTTATCCGCTCTCGTGCGCGGTGCGCCGCGACGGGCGCCGGGGGCGGGGTCGGCCGGGACGGGGCGGGGGGGAGGCCTAGGGGACGGACGTCTGCGGAGACTGCCCCACACACCGCGCGCCGGTGTGTACGCGCGGGGCCCAGGCGCGAGGCGCGGGGTGTTAACCCGCCCCCCAACCCCGAACCCGCAATACCCCCCAAATCTAGTTGCAAAAAGTCTGTGGTGCAAAACCCGGCCGCCAAAAACTACCAAAATCGCTGTCACACGGCCAGCTCGGGCCTCGGCACGACGATCGGTTTACGGTTACTCCAAAAAAGTGACGTAGAGCACCCATTTTTTAAGCGTTCGCCGCATACACAAGGTCCGCCTGCGTGCGGCGGCTCATCGCGCCTGCCAGCGCTGCCGTACCACGACGAGGTCCAGCAATAATCTATACGCTCGCCTCAGAGGGAGCGCGGGTGTCCATCGCTTCGTCACCTCAGTGGTCACCAGTGGAGAGTGGCGACATGACATGCCCGCGAGACATGCCGAAAGATGAGCAGGGCGGATGACGCACACCACATAATCATGTATTAGCAACATGGTGGAGCCCCGCCCGCGACGGCGCAGAGACCCGGGGCGCGAGCCCACAGCCAAAACAGACTAGAGACACCGCGCGCGTCGACAGCCGGCGGGGCCACCAGCCGGCCCGCTGGCGTCGGAGCGTAGTGATAGATGGCGGGAGGGCCATGGCTGGGCCGGTAGCCTCAGCGTGGCCGCGAGGGCGCGGTCGCCGCGCGCAAGAGGCTCTAGTCGACGACCAAGCTGTCGATGCTTGCCAGCGACGACGCCACCGAATTTTGACGCCGGTTCAGGCCGGCGCTGGCGCGTACGCCGCTGGCGAGCTTTGGCGAAGTGAGGCAGCGCGGGTTGTCGAGGGCGGCGGCCGCGGCGAGCGCCGGCGCCCAAGCGGCGGGGGCTGCGGCGTGTCGCTCCGCAGCTGCGGGCGGGGAGCAGTGCATTGGCGGTGAGCCGTGCCGCCCGTCCTCCTCCTCGCGGCCGGGCCTACGGGTGGGGGAGGAGCGGGTCTCGGGCGCGTCCTGGGGCGAGGGATCCCCTCGCGGCTGGTGGCGCGCGTGTCCGGCTCGGAGATGGACTGCAGCACCTCGCCCATTGAGCCGCGCACGTTGCGCAGCTGCGACAGGCCGCCGACGGCGCCGCCTTCCCACGAGACGCGACCCGAGCTGCTGCCGCTGCCACACACGCCCGCGGGCCGCGCCGCCGCCGCGCCCGGCTGCGACGGCTGCAGCTGCTGCCGCTGCATCTGTTCCGCCGAGGAGGGGAGGGCCGCGGCTGCTGCCGCGGCGTCCGAGTCTGCGTGCGCCGACTCTTCGGCGTACAGCTCGCGGTAGTAGAGCCAGGGCACCTACAGGAGCAGCGTGAGGGCTCCGAAGAGGCTCCTGCGGCGTGCAGCGTGGCAGCGCCCGGCCGCCGTCTCGATCAGCGAGCAGACAGCGAGGACGACGGAGACGCACTGCCGAGGGGAGGCGCGGGGGGGGAAGGCGGTGGTGCGAGGCGGCGCGAGGCGAGGCGTGGTGAGATGCGACGCGTGGCGGTGTGGCGAGGCGAGGAGTGGAGCTGCGGCGCGGCTAGGAGTGCCGCAGTGGGAGGCGAGGAGAGGCGAGGCGGTGCAGCGGCGCCTGGCAGGTCCAGGCGAGCAGCAAGGTGACGGCGGGTTTGCCGCCGCCGAAGCAGCGGGCGAGCGAGAGCTCGATGAAGCGGAGGCAGAGGTGCGCGAACGAGGCGAAAGGCGTGTGGACCAGGTGCGCGTTGAAGAAGGAGAGGATCAGCAGCACGACGCCGACGATCAGGCACATCACCGCGGCGGCAAGCGTGTCGGAGCGGAGGCCCTGCTGCACCATGCAGAAGCAGCGTATGCCGACCGGGCCCATGAGCAGCATCATCCCGGCAAAGTAGTACACCGACACCGCCACGTACTCGTACTCGAGCTCCCGCAGCAGCACCTCGGCGGCCGACCGGCCGCGCATGTCAAACCCGCCGGCGAGCGTGCGGTGGAGGGCGAAGATGGAGAAGAAGCAGGCACAGAGGTTCATCAGGAAGCAGCCGATCGAGAAGATGACGTGCAGCCGCTTCATAAAGTGGATCCACGAGTGGCCAGGCCAGTGGACGGACGGGTCGGGCGGCATGGCGCCGGCGATCGCGATGGCGCCGCCCACAAAGGAGAGCAGCAGGAAGGAGAGGAAGAGGAGGAGCGTGTGCGAGGTCTGGTCGTCGACGAGCTGCACGCCGGCGACAGCGCACTCGGGATCGGTCATGATGGAGTGGGCAGCGGGGAGCGACTGGCGGCAAAGGCGCGGCGCAGCTGGCGCAGGCGGCGAGCAGGGAGCGCGGAGGAGGCGGAATAGCAAGGAGAGCAGGCGGGATAAAAAGAGACTTGTCCGACACGAACATAAACCTTGATAAGGCTGTGTGCCCCCGGGGGGCTGTGTGGTGCACGCCCTCCGAGCGGGGCGGGGTCTGCCCGTCGGGTTGCTGCCCTAATCCCACCAGGGGTTGATATACCTAAGACCAGGGGTTGTCTGCTCTATTTATTTAACATAAACCTCTCTTCAAAAAAAGTATGAGGAAAGTCAGCAGTTCACCCTCGGGTATGTTCGTAAGAGCTACATAAATTGAAAGAGAGAAACCCGGCGGGGGGACCCGCAATGGGCACAGCCGAGGTGCGCATCTGGGGCCTGTGCAAGCGTGTCTGCGATTTTTTTCTCCTTTTGAGACCGCGTACAAGTCTTCTTGCGGCGGTGCGGCGCCTGCAGCTGCACGTGCCACGTCGCGAAGTAGCTAGTAGCAAGTCGTAGGACCGCCTCCTTCGCGCGACGCCGGCGCAGATCCCGAACTACGGCTTTTGTTCGCTCAAAACAATCCGCGAAGTACAACATTCAACGCAAACATCCCTCTCTGCACTCTGCTCCCTCCGCCGGTACTCCACCCAAAACGTGCGCGCATACGCGAAACGTGCATGCACATGTGCGAACTCGCCGCTCGTTCTGCGCGTCGGCTGCGACCTGGGCACGCTCCTCGCGCGCCGTCAGCCTCCCCCCCCCCCGTCGTTTCCCCCGCTGTCAGGTCCCGCTGCGTGCCCCGCTGCTGCCCCGTCCCTCGCCTCGCCTCCTCGCCTCGCCTCAGGCTGACGCCATCAAGCGGGCTGCCGCGGCACGGCGTGCATGAGGCCCAGCTCCGCCTCCGCGCGGAGGCCAAAGAGGTCTCCGATCCCCTCGACGCCTTTGAGCGACGCGCCGCGCGCAGCGGCCGACATGACGTACGCCGACACGCCGTTCTCGTTCTTGATGAGCATCGACGCGACGCCGTAATACCATGGGGCATCGCGCCGCGTGCAGCCGGCAGGGAGGCTCAGCTGGGCGAGCGGCACGGCCGCGAGCAAGACGGTGCGCATCCCCTCTTGCCGCACCAGCTGCTGCCGGCTGAGCGAGCCGCCCTTGCCGTGCTGCCACGCCGGCAGCAGACCAGGACGCCCCAGCCCGTGCGCCTCGGCCTTCGCCAGGCCCTCGACGTGATTGTTGAGGAATTTTCTCTTCGTCTCCTTTGACTCGTGCTTGGCCTCGAGCTGCGCCTCGGCGTACAGCGCCTCAGTGCGTGCGCGTTGCTCGGCGGTCTGGTTGCCCCCCGAAATGAAGAACGAGGCGCGGGGCGAGTACGGGCAGCGAGTGGCGAGCAGCTCGAAGAGCGCGTGCGCGAGGCCGCTCACCAGCGTCCGCTGCCACGCGGCGACCCACCGGTCGCGCTCCTCAGGGCAAGCGGCGTCCTGTTCACAAATAGTAGGCATCAAGCGCTGATTCACGGGAGATTACTGACACTTCGCCGAGCCGCTAACCCGGTGCAGCTCGAACGTGGCATCCGAGGCGTCGGAGCCGGGGCAAGGCTGGCACACCGCGTTGCTGGGGTTGCTGCTGCAGAGGCACTGGAGGCGGTGGTCGCACTTCGCGTGCTCGACCTTGACGTGCATCTTCAGGTCCGCCTTGGAGTCGCCGCCCGCCAGCATGGCGTCGTCGATGACGTTGCGGAAGCGGAGCAGCGCCTCCGCCAGGCGTGGATCAGCACCGCGGACAGCGGCGAGCCTGGCCTCAGTCAGCCACACGTGCTCGCCCCCCGACACTAGCGAGCCGCCGCAGTCCCGTGCCACATCCGGCGGCAGCAAGTAGAAGGTGCCGTAGCCGGTGCCGTTGCGCGACAGGAGGTCGCCACACGATGCGGCGTACACGACGACCTGCATCGCGTCCTCTGGCTCGAGGCGGGCCATGGCATCGCTCACTTCCGGCAGCTGCGCGAAGTCTTTGAGCGGCAGCTCTTGCGGCACCGCGCCGTGCGCCAGGATGGGATCGCGACGGCCTTTGGCAGCGCCCTGCTGCGTGTCGGCGGTAACGACGATCTCGAGATGCCCGGCGGCTCCGGCGACGCCCAGCTGCTGCACTCGCTCCACGAACTCCCGGACGAGCGCGGCCCGGTCCGCCTCGGAGGCTTCGTACGCACATGCCGCCGCCTCTGACGCCTTGCGCTCTGCCGCCGCCGCCGCCTTGCGCTGCGTCGCCTCCTATATGGCACGTCACGGACGTGTCGCGGACACTCAGAGAGCGCCTCCCTTCCGCCGCCGCCGCCTGCAGCGCCGCCGCGTAGCACACCGCCGCCTCCTCCGAGAGCGGCGCCCGCGCGCCGCCGTTGTGGCTTCCCTTCCGGCTTCCCCTCCGGGTTCCCGCTTGTTCCCAGGTGCCAGCCATCTCCTCGCCGAGCAGCGACACTGCCCTCTGCGCGCAGCTGGGTTGGCCGCAAGTTTTGCGGGAGGTGGGAATCCCAAGCGAGATGGGCCAGCCGCAACGGGCGCAGGCCCGCCGCGCATCGGAGGCGGGGGCCGCGCTGGGGCCGGCTGGCCTGCGCGCGGTCGAGACGGGGAGAGGGGGTGTGTGTGCTGGCGGGTGCAGCGAGGGAGCGGCTGTGGTGGATTGTGTGTGTGTGTGTGTGTGGGGGGGGGGGGAGCCTAGCCACGACGCAGCCGGGGAGAAAGAGTCCCTACCGCTGGGAGATCCGTCCGGAGGACTCCCTTGCGCGGGGGGTGATAGGATGTGGCGGGCCGCTTCCCGTCTATTGGGGCCCCCGTTGTTGGGGGATGGGGGGTTGGAAAAATCTCACCCGAAGGCGGGGGGGGGGGGGGGGGTGCACAAACCCCTTGCGCCGCTCGGGCTCCTTGCCAGGGCTTTTGGGCGCCGGGGCCTTGCTCGACCTCTGCGGCGGCGCGTTCTTCGATGCGCCCGAGCACGCCGCCTCGAGCAGGCCCTACGGCGCACACGCAACGGACGCGTCATGCGCAAGCACCCGAGCACGCGCCGCCTCGGGGAGGCGCCTCCGAGTCCGAGTCCTGCACCGCCGGGGGCGAGTCCGAGTCCTGCTTGCGGTGGTAGTCCCACTTGACCTCCTTGAGCAGCACCCTGTCCTCGGCGCCGCCGCTGCCGTCAGCGTAGCGCACGCGGTGGTGGCCGGTGCTCGGGTAGTGCGCCACGACGGTGGCCACGCGGCGGCCGCCCCCCTCCTGCTCGATCGAGAGCTCCTTGCCGACGACGTTGTCGCCGCTCTCCGCCTCGCTCATCTCAACGTCCTCCTTCTCCTCCTCCTCCTCCTCCTCGAGCTCGTGCCGCCGCTTGCTGTCGCCCAACTACAAGCAGGCGGTGGTGCGGTGTGCGTGAGGAGTGGCGGCGGGGCGAGGGGCGGCGGCAGAGAGAGGGGCGGCGGCGGGGCGAGGGGCGGCAAGAAAGAGGCGGGGAGGGAGAGCGCCTGGGAGAGGGGCTGCTGCGGCGCGGTCAACACTGCCGCCGCACGCGGCTTTGACTTGGCCGCTCCAGAGGGCGAGCCCAGCTGGCACGGCTTGGTAACGAGCTTGTGGCGCTTGGCCGCGCTGCGCTCGGGATCGTCGCACTCTTCGGCTGGCGCGTGGCCTCGGGACGGCGGGTGGGTGCAGCCCGCCGACGCGACGCCCTTTGCGGGACGGCCGAAAGGCGCCTCGCCAGCCGCCTCGCCAGCCGCCTCGCCGGCCACCGCTGGTGCGGACCCGCGCGGCGAGCGGCGCGGACGCCAGTAGTGTGCCTCGCGGAACGCGCTATGGTCGACGGGTGTGGCGACGCGGAGGCGTTTCCCTTTCGACTGCTTTCCGACGCTGTGCTCGGAGAAGTCGTTCGAGTCCTCGCCCGACCCTAGCATCCACTTGACTTGCACCAGTTGCTTCTTGCGGTCGAAGTACACGACCGTGCCGATCTTCGTCGACAGGCCGGTGCCACAGGCTACGACCTGTCCCTTCTCCATGGTCGCCATGGCAAGAGTGAGCTCCGTCCTCCAGTCCTACAGGGTTCCGGCTCCTAGCCAGATAGGGGGTCTGTGCGCTATGACTCGCACCAAAACGCCCGGCCTACCTACCTATTGCGGGCGCCAATCGCCAGGCTCCGTGCCCCACCTACCTACCTATTCCCAGGCCGCGCAGCGAAGCGAAAAAATACCCGTTAGCCCTCTGTGAATAGGCTCCCAGCGCCCGCCGCGCGCCGGCTTGTACCGCGGTGCGCGCCGCTCGCGAGCCCGTCAGAGCATGGCCCCGTTCGCGGCTAAACTCTCCCGCGCGAGCGTATGTGCGCCAACGACGCCTGTGGTGGCTCACTGTACACTGACACTGTCTTCTCGTGTCCAGTCGTCCCAGTCTCTCCGTTCCCCGCGTCTCCTCCTTGCCTCGCGCGCCTCTTTTGTGGCCTCATCCCTAGCCGCCTTGCACGCTCTGATCCCCAGAACGCACTTCTCGTGGCGGGGCCCCTGATTCCCCGTTTCTTTTCTCCCTCTAGAATACGCCTGTCTGTGGTGCGCCCCATGTGGCACCCCGACCTGTTGTCTCACCCTGGCCCCTGAGATCGTTTTGGTCGTCACATTGTGATCCCCGACGTCGTCAAATGTCGCCCGCCTGTCAACCCGGCTACTTCGCGTAAATTCTTCTTTCTGGGCGTGCTTCGGTAACTTCTTCTGGATAGGCCGGAGAGGCCGCCTCAAAACGTCCGACGGGTGGACCCGGTGCGCTCTCACACGCTACCCCTGCTACATTGGGAGCCTGCGGTGGTTGCCAGGAATGGTCATTGACGCTTCCTCCTACCTGCGGGCTCACTCACGATCGCCCTCACCAGACCCCACGCTTGCGGTAGATGCTGACCGCGGCCCGTCAACCTGCCTGCAGGAGGAATTGGCCGACTCAGTGAGTCTACCACCTGGCGTGTGCCCCACCGCTCCCCGCGCCACTTCCCAGCTGAATCTGTCGGTGGTGCTCTCTTTTGAGCCACTGCCCTGTGACGGAATATCTCTCGTTTCTCTGTCACATTCAACACGGAGGGACGCCGCGCACGCATGCTCACAGCCCCACCACCCCACAGCCGCCCCGTCTCTCGGGCCGCGTCCCCTACCTCACTCAGGCCTTCTCCCACCTCGGCCCCCCGCAGGCTCTCGCGACCCTACCGCGCGACCCTGTCGCTCCTCCTCTCGAGTGCGTGCACCCCCCTCAGCCGCGCCACACCGCGCGAATCCCAGCCCCCGCCTCTCGTCGTCCGCGCGCGCTGCTCGCCTCGCAGTCGCCGCCGTTGGCGACCACGGAGCGGGCTCTCCCCAATGGGGGGGGCTACGAGATATCGGTTGGGTTCCGACCCCCGTTACTTCGTGTCTCTGTTGGTCGCCGCGGCAGCGGCGG